AAATACTGTAGGTACATGAATTCAGCAAAATATCCCAATACAGTCCAATAGTCCATAATAGTAGTGGGTTTTCCATAAGACTGTCAATGTCTGAAGTTGTTGACTTGAACATTTTACAGCTCATTATATTAATATGGCTTTACTTTTTATACTTCATTTTCATGCTTTTCTGCTGGATGGTTAACACATCACATCAATGTTATTGATTTTGTATCTTGTTACATTAATGAATTTGGATATTAATTCTAAGAATATTTTGGTGGATTTTTGGGAGGGTCTTATGCAGAGGATCATGTCATTTATAAATAATAATTTGATTTCTTTCTATGCCATACATACCCCTTTTATTTATTTTCCTTATCTAATTGCCACTACTAATGTTTTCAATACTATGCTAAATAAGATTGTTGATACAGTAGCAGACATTTTCATCTTGCTCCTGATATTGAAGGGAAAACTTTCCATTTCTCCCCTTTTAATAAAATGTTGGCAGTTGGTTGGTTACATGAAGGTAAGGTTCTTCTATTCATCTTCAGCTTCTCTTTATTATGAAAGTTTGTTGGATTTTGTCAAAGGTTTTTTTGTCATTATTAAATGATTATGTGATTTTTGTCTTTGTTTTTAATTGTGTGATGTGTTACCTTTACTGGCTTGTGTATGTTGAACCATCCTTGCATCCCTGGGGTGAAGCCTAGCTGGTCAAGTTTGTGACCTTTTTGATGAATCAGTGTTTTCTGCTTGTAAGTATCTTGTGGAGAATTTTTAAATCCGTATTTGTTAAACAAATTCACCTGTGGTTCTCTTTTTTTGGTTGCATTCTTGTCTGGTTTGGGAAACAGGGTAATGCTAGATTCCTGGAATGACCTTGGGAGTACTTTTCTATTTTCAATTTCATTAAAAACATTGAGGAGTATTGATCTCTGAACTTTCTGCTGACTTTAGCGATTAATCCACTTGGACTTGAGCTTTTCCTTGTTTTTTAAAAAATGCAGCTTCAATTTAATTACCTAATATAGTATTATTCAGATTTAAAATATTGCTTCCATTATGGTAGTTTTTTTTTTCTTTTTTTCTTTTTTTTTTTGGAACTTGGGATTGAACTCAGATCCTTGCGTTTGCCAGTCATGCGCTTATCCTACTGAGCCATCTTCCTGGCCCCTTTTTAAATTTATTCCAAAAATTAAAACTAGTTTCTTTCTTTTTAAAATTTATTTTCAGTGGGCAAGTGAGGGAAAAATCCCTTTACATGTCTTAATATCAGTTTCCTTCTTTGTATGTTCTTGTTAATGGGTGTAAACTTTAATGAAAATGTTAGTTTTTAAAAATAGAATTTGAAACTTTCTGCAAACCATAGTTTATTTTGCAAAGTTTTACTCTAGAGAGAAAATATTCCATAGGGATTTGTTTTCTTGATTATTGTGTGGGCTTTAATTATACATAGCTCCAACAATCTCCTTACTTAATCAGAAACTTAGGGTGAGTGTGGAGGCTTTTCCCACCCAAATATGATCTTAGACTCTCTGGATTTGCTATTCTCACAGCTTTTACTCAAGTGTCGTAAATCTATATGTGAACACTGATATGGAGCTTACAAATTTCCCATGTGTGTGAGTGTGCTACCACGTTTTCTGAAGATTCCTAAAACCATTGGTGACTTGTCTTGGGAATAAATACTGTGCTTGAGCTTTGGTGGTCACCACCACATGGTGTCAGCAGAAGACAGAATAATATGGCTGAAAGGGCCCTGTTGATTGATTTAGTACCTTAAGAAATAATTAGAGTGTGGTTTTGGGAAACCACATAAGGCCTCCCAACATCTGTTGTCTTATCTGTTAGAAGCAGAAGTTAGAACAACTTTTAATTATTTTCAGCATCGTTGTCAGGGTGGCTCAGTTGACTGTGACCTACACTTTGTTCATGGGGGCTGATGGTGAGGAACCAATGGGGCGGCGAGAGCACCCAGGACACCTTCACTGCAGAAAGACCGCGGTCCACAGGGAAGAATCCAGTGCTGCTTCTCATCCCAGAGTTTGCAAACCAGAACCTTGGCTTGAGTGATGGTCTTTTCTAGCAAAGTGGTGGACTTCCATCTAAGTTGGAGATACTTGGGTGTGTTTGGAATCTGCCTGGTCCAGTTTCTTGTCTCAGGTTATAGCCAAATCACTCCAGCTCTTCTGACCTAAGGTGGGTGACAGGAAGCAAGGCCAGAGTTTCTAAGGATAGTGGACAATCTATTTTTCTTTCATAGGTAGAGAGTTCTTTTGCATAAGGTAGTTGATCTGGTGTGTGTGTGTGTGTGTGTGTATGTGTGTGTGTGTGTGTGTGTGTGTGTGTGTAGGATGAATTACATGGATCATTTTTATTGTGGAAAAATCAGTGCAGCACAGAATGTGATGATTTTTAAGTCCCTCACAGTATTTGAAATCTGTCAGGTAGCTCTTGGACATCAAGTAGGGGATTTGGCTGAGTTAGAATAATTCAAGGGTACCTTGGTTACCCCTAAGCAGTGGAGTGTTATGAAGAAAGATCAGTGTAGGAAACAGTGTCCTGATAGCTGCTCCAGGAGAGCTGGGCTGGGTGGCAGTGCACTAAGTTATAATGTAGGCATCAGTGCTACTGTTAACAGGAGAAGGCAGCAAGGCTGGAGAGAAAAGGGCACACAAGGGTCAGGGGTACAGGGCACATTAACAGGGCATGATGACTGAATGTGGACAGTTAAAGGAAGGCATGAGTCAGATACAATACCAAGACTGACAGTGTGTCTCCAGAGCTTGGTCCCACCATCCACTGCAACTGTGTCCTCAGCTCTCTCTGGGTCTGTGAGGGAGGTGAGTCTGAGGAGGCTCAGGGTCTCACTCTCTCCTCATACAGCCACTTGAGTTCCAAGGTACCAAGTGGCTTCTAATACTTCTGGGACCTGGAGCACACATAATTTCTCATCCTTGAAAGGTTCTACTATGATGATCTTGCCAATACTGCTTGTCTTGGCCATGAGATTCTTTCTAGGTTAGGAAAAAAATAGAAATTGGTTGAGTCAGGGACCTTTCTTGATCCCTCAAAACACAGATACCTGAATTTGAGTTTTAAACCACAGAGATCAGGGATCTCACACCAGATCATCTTGATCCCCAGCATGAATGTATTAGGGGAATCCCAGAAAAGTGGAAGACTAAAGGGTGCTGTACTAATCAATGGACTGACCACTGGTGTCCACGGCTGAATTGGCTTCCAGGAGGGGCCGCAGCTGGAGGTCTGTGCCTTTGCAGAGTGTGGCTTGCTGAAACTCTTCCCCTGGGCCACATGTCCTGGTGGCCAAGAAGAGAGCAGCTTTCCTCCCCCAGGTGCTCTGCCATGGTGCTGCTGCCCTGGAGCCGGTCAGCCATGGACTGGGATCTTTGAAGCCTCGGGACAAGCAAGCCACTCCCCCTTCCAGCTGTGAATGTGGGGTGTCTGGTTCCCCTGGTGGGTGAGCTGACTGGTGCTTTGCGTCTCTCCTGTGACAGAGGCTTCCTCTCTAGTGCTTTTCCCACTCTAGAATACTGATTTTTCACGTTCTTAGTTTTCAGCTTGGAGCTTCAGCTTGTGTTCTTACCTACGACTTCTGGAACACTGTGTTTCCACTTGTGCTGTCACCAACTTTTGTTTCCTGATTGGCTTTGCTTCTTGTTTGGGGTTAGTGTTTAGCTCTTCCAAAGTATAGTGATGAAAAATGTCATTATGAAGTTATAGGATCAGTAGAAATCAGTAGGTGTAGGTTTTATAGCAAGGAATCAAGTGTTTACATTTTTCCTTCCTTTTCTCTGATGAATCGTATGTGGCATAAACGTGAGCTGGGGCCCTTCATCTAGAGGCAATGAGCTTCACTTCCATGGCGCTGCTTGTCGCAGAAGGGAACTTGAGCTGTATCTCTGCTGTGCGAGCTGATGGATGTTTAGATGTGGAAGAGGTTCAGAGCATGCTTGTTCCAGGGAAGTAAGCTGGAGAGAATTCCCAGTGCTGTGACCAAATCCTTTTCTTGCTTGCTATTTTCATTTTTGTGAGTGTGTGTCTGTAGTACACCATTTTTCTTTTCCTGCTGGGGACTTGGATCTGTCATAAAACATCACAGTTCTTTTTTGTGCCTCCACTTTCCTCCTTCCCTCTTACACCGTTTTCTGCTGCCACCAGTCTGGTACAACAGCAAGCAGGTGGCCACCGTCCAGGCTTTCCAAGGACCAGTGTTGAGAGCTCAGGATGTCTCGGGTTGGAGTGTGAAAAGGTGTGGAAGTAATGGTGGAACGGTGGAGAGGACTGAGTCAGTGCAGTGTCCACGAGTGTGAGAACCTCTATCATAGAAACACGTATGTCGAAGATAGAAGACTAGTGAAGACAACTGAAGATGTAACATATAAGACTCAGTTTTGGCCTGAGTTCCTCCAGGCTGGTGGAACTGTGGCAGTGTGATGTCACAGTGGACCTTGGGAAGGGGACAACCCTTTTGACGTGTGGTTGGATCCTGCTGAATTCACCTGTTGGATCATTAACGGTGTCTGAAGGGGAGGCCTTTGGGAGGTAGTTCTCTTCTGGGTGGAAACCATGTCTGTTCCTGGAGACATAGTTGCAGGAAATGGGGAGCAGAGAACTGGAAATGCATTAAGGGGACTTACAGATAGAAAGAACTATGAAAATGCAATGAAGATAGAACAAATACAGGTCAGTAACCTGAGTGCTTCCTGATAGAGTAGTTTTTGGCAAACTGAAACAATCCTGTATAATATCAGAAAAACTAGTTGTGGGTCTCAAATTTACTTCTTAAGAGGATTTAGATAGATAACCACTTTTTATGAGTCTCCATTTACTAATAATGAACTCAAATATATTTAGATAATGCAAAGTATTAGATTGTTAATATTCAGTGCTGAAAGTGTCCACACTGGCTGAATGGTTGAGTGCCAGCTGGTACCCTCTGAATGCTAAAAATAAGATAAATTAGTGGCATAATCATGGTTGTTTAGAGAAGGAAGATGGCGGATCTGGACGAGCAGCTGTCCGATGAAGAGAAGGTACGGATAGCAGCAAAATTCATCATTCATGCTCCTCCTGGAGAGTTTAATGAGGTTTTTAATGATGTTAGGTTGCTGCTGAATAATGATAATCTCCTCAGGGAGGGAGCAGCCCATGCATTTGCACAGTATAACTTGGATCAGTTTACTCCAGTGAAGATTGAAGGTTATGAAGATCAGGTACTGATAACAGAACACAGTGATTTGGGAAATGGAAAGTTTTTGGATTCGAAAAACAGAATCTGTTTCAAATTTGATCACTTAAGAAAGGAAGCAACTGATCTGAGGCCCTACGAAGCAGAAAATGCGATTGAGTTATGGAGAGCTTCTGTAGAAACGGCGCTGCGAGCGTATGTAAAAGAGCATTACCCGAATGGGGTTTGCACTGTGTATGGTAAAAAAATAGATGGACAGCAAACCATTATTGCATGCATAGAAAGCCACCAGTTCCAAGCAAAAAATTTTTGGAATGGTCGTTGGAGGTCAGAGTGGAAGTTTACAATCACACCTTCAACCACCCAGGTGGTTGGCATCTTGAAAATTCAGGTTCATTATTATGAAGACGGCAATGTTCAGCTAGTGAGTCATAAAGATATCTAAGATTCCCTCACAGTGTCTAATGAAGTACAAACAGCAAAAGAATTTATAAAGATTGTAGAAGCTGCAGAAAATGAATACCAGACTGCCATCAGTGAGAATTATCAGACAATGTCCGACACTACTTTCAAAGCCTTACGTCGACAGTTGCCAGTTACACGCACTAAGATTGATTGGAAGAAGATCCTTAGCTACAAGATTGGCAAAGAAATGCAGAATGCATAAGATGAACATTGCATGTCCGGATCATTTTAGTAATCTTTGCGTTCAAAAAAATTATTGCAAAAGTGTTCAGAACTGTCAAGCTGCCCAGTCAGACGGGCTATTGCCATGTAAAATCAGTGTAATTAGTTTATTTAGAGCACAAAGCTTAGCTAATCAACCATTCTTTACTTTTGTTTGAAGAAGATTGAAAAAAATGAATAGTTTAAATGTCTTACTTTCTGTTATTTTTTTCTTTGTTACAATGAAGAGCTGATTCCTCTAGTTTATGGTTAAAATGTTTGAAGTATTACAAAAATATTTTACTTAGTATAACCCTAAAATTGTTGTCTCTCAGCTTATGAAATGGGTAACTTTTGATATTAGCCCAGTTCTTTTTAAAGGGGTCAATAATAGACATTCTAGTTTAAGGTGGTTGATGGACTTAGCCATATATGCTGCTAAAGAAATTGTCTACCTTTTTCCCCCTCACCTCTTCCACTTATGTAAGATTGAGATTAGAAAACATTTTCTATATCAGTCGTGTTTAAACCTTTCAGTAAGGTTATATAGCTAGCTTAATGTTGAACTAAGTTTTTTTTTAAACAAGGTCAAGGTCTGTTTTGAGATTCTGAAATTAAATGAAAGTACTTATCGCATAAATGCATTTAATGCTTTTTCTTGTGACAGTTACACAAATTAGCTTGAATTCCATATGTTCCTGAGTTATTTTTATCATAAAGTCACAAATATAGTATAACAAGGCAAATTGTAATATGTGTAATCTTGAACTCATGACCATGTCTCAGTTTATTTTTTTCCTTGGATTGATATGTACTAAAAATCAGTGTGACATTAAAATGTGAACTTTCCTATTTAAAAAAAAATCATGCTTGTTTATTGCAGGCCTTTTACCACCAAATATCCAGCTGAATCCATGGCACATAATGTGACCGAGTTCATTTTCACCAGGCTCTTCCAAGGTGCAGAGGTGCAGAGAGCGTGCTTCGTGCTCTTCTTTCCTGTGTACCTGGCCACGCTGGTGGGCAACGGCCTCATCATCCTGCCAGTCAGTGCGAGTGACAGCCTGTGCTCCCCCATGCACTTTTTCCTGGGCTACCTGTCCCTGGTGGAGATCTGCTACTCTTCTACTGTGGTCCCTAAACTTCTCACTGATCTTGTCAAGATTACAACCATCTCCCTGGAGGGCTGTCTGACTCAGATCTTTTTCCTCACTTCTTTGCAATTGTTGAGATCCTCCTGCTAGTGGTGATGGCCTATGACTGCTATGTGACCATCTGCAGGCCTCTTCATTATATGATCACTATGAGTCACCCACTATGTCACATGCTGGTGGCTGGCTCCTGGCTTGGGGGCTTTTTTTTCATTCCATAATTCAGATTCTCATCACCATCCCTTTGCCCTTCTGTGGTCCCAATGTGATTGACCACTACTTCTGTGACCTCCATCCCTTATTCAAGCTGGCCTGCACTGACACCAGTGTGGAGGGGGTTGTTATGCTGGTGAACAGTGGATTATTCTCCATCTTCTCCCTCACCATCTTGCTGTGCTCCTATGTCATCATCCTGGTCAGCTTGAGGAACCATTCTGCAGAGGGCAGGCACAAAGCCCTGTCCACCTGTGCCTCTCACATCGCCGTAGTCCTCTTGTTTTTTGGACCTGCCACCTTCCTCTATGTGTGTCCCTCCTCCACCTACACCGAGGACAAGCTGGTGGCTATGTTTTTCACAGTCTTTACTCCCATGTTGAACCCCATCATCTACACACTCAGAAACATGGAGGTGAAAATTGCCATGAGGAGACTTTGGGCAGAAAGGAGAACTCAGAGGTGGAAAAATGAGGAGAAATGTGTGTTGGTTTATTGTTTGTTTTGAAAATAGATTTGATTTCGGTGGGAGGGTCAACAACTTTAGAGCCAGTATAAGTGCTTTATGTGTTTCTACTCAGTACCTAAGTTCTCCACGTGTCCTGGTGCAGTGTTCAACATGAGTTAGATGTTTTCTCTGGGTCTTGTAGAGCTTAAGCCAGTTGTTTCATGGGCTTGTGTCATGTGAAGCATAAACCGTGTTAAATTCAAGGAACAGTTTGAATCCTTCATTTTATTTTTTCAAGAACAGAGTCATCCACTTATTTTTATTGATTATGTAGCTATGCAGGCATGGGAAGATGGAAGTCCCTGTGGGGTTTTCTTGAACCTGTCCCCAATCTGGAACATACCTTATTCCATCCCTGAAGAGCTGCAGCTGCTGTGGGGCCAACACTGGCAGGTTTCTAAAACATCCTTGGTAGAAAAATAGATGTGTGTGACAGCAACGTCCTGGGTGCAGGGTAAGTGTGGTGATCCCTCTGAAGGCTCAGACACTCCTTTTTTTAATTTTAAAGTTACCAGCTCTTCTTTGTTTTGTTCATTCCCTTCCTCCTTGTGTAGGGGATTACATATTCACTGGGCACAGAGTTATATGTGATATGTAATGATTCAACAATTGTCATTGGCATTCTGTCAGCTCTCACAGTTATCATTTCTTTTGGTGTGGAGCATTCACAACATTTTGAGCTATTATACAATGTTCGTTAATTCTTGTCGTGCATAGTTACCCTGCCAGCGCTTAGAATATTTCTCTGTCCATTTGCAGCACTGTGTAAGAATATTTTGATAAATGCCTTATTAGCTAAAATTCTTTCCTTCCTGCCATCTTTCTTCCTCATTCCTTGCTTCCTCCCATTCTTCCATACTTTTACTTCTTTCTGTTCTTCTTCCCTCTTTGTTCACCCTCTTATCATAATGACAGCTGATTTTACACCAAAACCAGAAGCAATCCCTTGGGTGACTTTCTGTTCCAGGGTACAGCTTATGTCATCAAAAATTAGCTCTGGGCACCTTTCAGTTATTTATGCCCCTTGACATCTTGCACCTTGGTCACTTGACCATGCTCACCCCAAGAGTCTCCAGAGCCATTTCTCTCTGGCTGGTTGCCACAAGGGAGTCTTTGAGTCTTCTCTCAGTGTTCAGCACTCACAGTGAACATCACAGTGAGACAGAGTCTCTCAGTAGTGAATTATCAAGTTCAGTATTTTCTAGGACAAGGCAATCATTTTCACAGTGACGCAGGCATAAAATGTTATAGAATGCAGCAAGTGCTTCTTGAGCTAATGTGGAGGATAAAGACCGTTGCTGTGATCCACCAGTTTGCACTCCGTATCTTTGTCCCTCATCTTCTGGTGGCCAGACCCAGCTAATTCTTTTCCATCTCTGTATTTCTTGGCACAGTGAAATGAGGCTGTCACTGTCTGTTGTTTCACCTCTTAGACTCCGCAGGTCACTCCAGTCTCTCACTTCCCTCTGAACAACATAGAGATCATTATAACATTATCTCCTCTGACCTCTGGAACGACCCAGAAGGTCAGTGAGCTTGCACTGTATTGGCCCACTGTTTCCTGTAGATCGAGTGAGGTCTTGCCACCAGCTTTGCTAGCAGAGACCAGGAGCACCTGGGTAGGGCAGAAAGCTCAGGGATTTCCCCTGTCCTCTGTGGCTTCTGAGAGACCTTGTGGGTGAACTGTGGCTGTAGGAAGAGCAGGAAATCTTCTGCATTTCCCTTCATGTTCTTGATAGCTGCGTGCCAGCATGGCCACTCTTAGCCCCCTAGAAAGGCTGCTTTTCCTATTGGGGCAATGTTGCCTCTTTTCCACATGGCTAAATCCCATATGTTTTTAAGAGCCAGATTCATATCTTAAAAAGGTTTCTGTCGCCTCCCTCATGCTTAGGTAGAATTGCATGTCCTGTCCTTGGTAATCTTGCATTCACATGGTATCCTTAGCCTATTCTTTTCCTTCTTCCTATCTCACATGTTCTCTTCTCCCTGTTCTCCAAGGCAGGACAGCTCATCATCCCTGCTTTGTAGTTCTATGTGTTGTGCACACGGCTGATTTTTCCTACTTGCCCAGGAGACAACCCTTAAGCTCTATGCCCAATCCTTGCTGTGCCAACTCCCACAGGTTTTCTGAACATCTCTTTCGTGGAACTTAAAGAGGTCAGGATTTGAGAATCCTTAGTTTGTTCCCATGCTAACCAGCCACAGCACAAGATCAAGTTACCTAATTCATCTTGTCTTTGCCTACAGTGAACAAGACTACCACCAGCAGGAACATCACAGCATTATTCTGAATATTAAGTCAGATAAATACTTAAAATGTTTAAGAATCTTTAGGACTGCTGAGAATCGGCCTTGCCTCCACCCATGAGCTTTCACACATGTGAAAACAGTGCAGTCTCTTTGGGGTGTCCTTGGAGTCGACCTTCTCTGTTGCTTTGAAATAAAATTGCACCTAGCGCATCATGAATATTCAGTTAATACCTTTAAAACAGATGTTTATGATACAGCTGCCCCTTTGCATTTTATGTTCTATTAATTTACATTTTTAAACATTGCTCTGAAATTAAACACCATGGTGGCACCCTTTCATCCCTGGATACTTTGCTGGCACTAAAACAGGCTGGGACATTAGTGTTCAGGCTGTGATGGGATTCCCTGCTCTGGGGCAAGTTTGGTTTCCAGCCTGAGAACCTGAGAGCCTGAGAGCCAGGGACAGAACATTGTCTTTGAAGTCTGAGTAGCTGGGAGTTGCGAGGCTGAGCTGGCCTGCTCCCTCTGTGTGGTCCAAGCTCTCAGGCCTCCCTCAGCTGCTGAACGAGAAGTCATGATGGCCTACGGACAGCTACACACTCTTTTTCTCATCTACTTAGCAAAAAACATAGAAATGAAGGGAAGCATTTCCTCCCATTGTGTCAAGGAACAGTGACTATTAGGAAAATTTAAAATAGCGTGCTCTGAAGTTGTTGACTTGAGCCTTTTATAGCTCAGAATATTGATATGGCTGTACTTTTTGTACCTCGTGGTTATACTTCTCTGCTGGATGGTTAAGACCAAGTTAATTATTGTAACTGTCCTACTAACCTGTTTTGAAACTGTTTCATTGTTATTTTTCTTTTTTCTCATTAAAATGAATAAAAAATTAAAAAATAAAATAGCATTCTCATTTCAAACTTTATATTTTGATTCAATTATGTCCTCAGCATCAGAAAGTGTGTACTTGTCACTCAGGCTTTGATTCTGTCATATTTTCAAACATCTAAAACAAAGAAAAATTGCTAGTACACAGTCAGCCACTCTGTCCGTACAATTTTGTATTCTTCCCCAGTAATTATTTATTCCCCTT